CTCAATCGTCGCTAAGAAATTGATGGAATGTCTGAGTGAGGCCGTCGATGATTTACCAGCTCCTCGAGCTCGTAAGTATCTTCTACGCCCAACTTATCCAAAGAACTTTTTCAGTGCATGTACAATGTATGTATATACAGTGTATGTATATATGTATGTCTTACATTGACAGACCTCACGGTCCCATACTACATGCTTATAAACAAATACATGATCACTTTTATTGTACATTTACTAGACATAGGGTATTGCTAATTGTAGAAACAATAGATAGTTTGCACTACTGATGATACTACAACACGGCACGTTTGTTCTGTCAATCTCGTGGATTATCTGCAGTAACTGAAGGTACATGTATTTATTTTATTCATTCATTTATTTATTTATTTCGGCTTACAAAGAAGCCAGGGTGTCCCAACTAGTCAAAGACTATTACTAAGGGACACCCTGGGGAAAAAGATGAAAATCGTTAAACATGCATGGAAAAACATATTACGAATTACATACTTAGTGAGATATACAGTTAACAGCTATATACAATAGTACAATGATTTGTATTTGTACTTTTCTTGCAGCTGCGGATGACGGATGCATCATCTCATAAAGGCCCATGTTCCTGCTGCCACCTGTTGGATATTTCATCTGCTGGGAACACGTCAATTCTTAAGAATAGGCTAGTGTAGATTGCTTGCAATGAATGTAACCAAAAGAAGCAAATTTCATTACCTTACATTATTCATTATTTTTACGTTCTCCAGCCCATCTGTTAGTCGGTATCAGAGTGTGTTTATTTGTTGCACCCCAACGCTTGTGGTTACTTTATTTCCAGTCATGTAATGTTTGAGCTAAATCTATTTGAAGTAGTCATGTACAGGGCTGTTTTAACTAGTTTACCAAATGTAGTAGACTAAAGTGGTGGTGAATAATTTCTGAGACATATATTATACATATGAAATGAGTATAAGGTTTGGGCCATCTTTTATTGACCAAAGTTTTCTTAGTACTACAGCCATTACAAAGCCTAAAACGATACTGAATCATCATTTGAATTTGATATCATCTCGACATCTGCAGATCGTCTTAAGTAATATGTTGGGTTCTTGGATGTTTATAACTTCTCATTTAACGTTCATCGGGAGTGAAAAGACGACAGAAAATGTCGGTGTTTTTATATAAATGTGTTTGAGTAACATTATTAGAGCAGTAGTTTGTTGGGCTAAACCATAATGCATTGCTTTGTAAATGTTACCTTTCTAGTGGTGTATGTAGTCATTCTACATGTCTGAATTATAGGTTCAGACTGCTAGATATATATTATGCTATTCAAACTTGTAACGAACAAGAAAAACCTAATATGTTACGAAACGCAATAATCAAAATTATATTATATATTTACTCTAGGTACTGGAGGAACAACAGAAGGCACAGGAGGCAGAGATCAAGGCCAGGGAACAGGAAAGGGAGGCGCAGCAGCTGAACAAACAGCAAGAAGACATGTTGAAGGCCCAGAAGGAAACTTTGGAGAAAGTACAGCAGCAGCACAAGGAGCAGATGGAAAAGGTACTAGAAATGAAAATTCAGTTATCATTCATCAGCAATGATGTTTTGGTAGGAACGGTGATTAAGAGCCATTATCATATAGCCAGAAGGCGACGACCAATCAGAAGACTCAATTTGCCATTGGTTATCAGGCCGTAACCTCAAAAGTGGTCGGTTATTAGAATAACCGACCACTTTTGGACCGTACTATTTACTAGGGACAGGGCACTAACGGTAGTGTTAAAACTTACCGTAAAACGTATTGTTTAACAGATAAATGTCACGTGGTAACCACAGATGATTGCCTAGATGGTCTGTTTTTCTTTCCATGCCATCTTGTTTCACGTTATATAGGATTTTTGTCAAATACGTGTCAGTTGGATAGGCTATATGATAATTACCTTAATGCTCCGCCTTTTCCTCGGTGTATGAGATAATCCCTAGGCCCTGGTCACGTGCGACAACCGCTCCGCTCACTTGGTGGTTTATTCGGTGGTTATCGCATCTGACCAGGGATTATATCTTACCATATACACCTCGGGGCGGGGTATTAACTCTTTACTATTACCCTACTTCTTCTCTAATATGACTTCCACTGTATTAATTTTAGTTCGAAAACAAGAGCTTGAGCGACGGGAAAAGGAGGAAAAGAAGATACAAGAACTTACAAATGCACTTATGCATGAACAGGCGCAGATGGCAAAGGTACGAAATTAGTAATAGGTATATTTAATTTAAGAAAGTAAGGATTTATCTATTTGACACATGTTTATCCCCTTCAAGAAAATTTTGAGACGGCAATGCAATTGCCAGACCACATGCAAGTCAACATGTTGTTTTTTCATAATATGATCATTATTACAGCAATTATGTTCAAATTAAAATTGCAGCAAAAGCCAGATTGACATATTTTTTACTATGGACTCGTTGACATATAACACAACATTCGTCTCTGACCAGTTTAGACAATTGCGTCATAGTGCTTGAAATTGCTTTTGTTGACTTTCTCACAGGAGCGTAATGAGAGAGAAAAGGAGAAGGCGATGGAAATGATGAAGAGTATGCAACAGGAACAGGCAGCCAATAACAGGCAGATGATGGAATTAATGGGCCGAATCCTCGAGAAAACAGCAGCTCCGCCGCGTAAGTGACATTTTGATGCTCCAATAAGATAACTTCTGCAGGAAAACTAGAAATACAAATACCTACTTGTGTAATGTTCCAATCATACAATTAAAATTGTCAAAATATTAAACAAATCAGTCTAATACAATATTTGTGTTCTGTTAACAGAGTCAACTGCGTTGCACTATAGGCGACTAATGGTATTTGTTTCTTCCTTGCCGCTGCAGCTTCTGGCGGTAGGTGCACCATCTCGTAAAGGTGATCACGTTGCTGTTGTCAACACACCCATCCCAACCTACACTTCTCAGCTGTTCCACTGTCAACCTGTAGAGAA